GAGGGTGGGATGTTTCAAGAGAACAGCATCGAAACATGTATATTATCTAGGGTGAAACAGATCACCAGCCCAGGTTGGGTGCATGAGACAAGTGCTCGGGTCTGGTGCACTGGGAAGACCCAGAGGAATCGGGTGGAGAGGGAGGTGGGAGGGGGGACCGGGATGGGGAATACATGTAAATCTATGGCTAATTCATTTCAATGTATGACAAAAACCACTGAAATGATGTAAAGTAATTAGCCTCCAACTAATAAAAATAAATGGAAAAAAAAAAAAGAAAACACAGCTCATCAGAGAGAACCTGCAAAAAAAAAAAAAAACTATGTAGTTAAAACTATGTAGTTAAAACAACATTAAAACCCTTCATTTTGGGACAATTATCTATAGTCATTAGCATTTGTTTAAACTATATAAGGAATTCCATGAAAACTGTATGTTCCTCATACAATTTTTCTTAGTATTGATGACAATATAAATTTCTATTAAAGACTGAAATCTTACATATAAATTTTTTTTTGCAAAAGTATAAAAAGATACATAATCATTTGTCAATCTAACATATATACACATAAAAAACAACATCCTTCAGAATTTCTAATAGGAAGTAAATGCATATGAGCTACTCTGCTGTATATGTCATCATCACAAGAAATTTTTACTAGAAAATTTTTAAAGAAAAGCCTTTAAATAATTAATAATGTTTAATAAATCAATCCTTATTAAATAAACTTTTCATTTCTGTTTTTCCATGTCCTTCATTTGTATCCTGTGACCCAACTTTGGGATCCCAAGAATTGAGACTGCATACACTGAAAAGCAATCAAGTCAAAAAAATAAAGAGAGGACATTTTAATTTCAAAAGTTATATAATATGTACAACAGTTCCCTGTTCAAATACATTCTCCTTTTCTTACAGGTATCCATAAAATACATATTTCTAAACCAGTCACTTTTAAACTGATAGCTTCTATTCTTTCTAAAAATACTGGGCTTATAGCTAAAACTGTCATAACCACAGTGTGCATTACAAAATGCATATTTCACTTCTGTTGTCTTTATACCACTTTATTCTAGGCAAACTTGATTTATAAGTGGCAGAAATGCCAATTTTTTCAAGCAAATTTTGTATTCACATTCTTATAACCACAATCATTTAATGAAATAACTATAAAGTTCACATATATAAGGTGATGTGCAGTTTAAGTTTCTTTTAAACTTCTGTGTGTTATCCAGTCACACTAAGAAATGTGGTCTCTCAGATAAGTAGGATTCCATTTAACTTAGAGTTCAACATCTAACTTTCATGAAGAAATGTAGTAAACCAAATATATTAAACATAATTCAACTTTTTAAGACTCAAAGCAGCTCTCTGTTGTGATCCTTACTGTAGTAGGCCATACTACACTGATGTTTTATGGCCTTCAGAAAATGGATTTACCTTTGCCCTTACTCCAGACATACTCAAATACTAGAGTACTTTTTAGGCTATTAAACTGAAAAGATCAGTTGCCTCAGTGTTCTCTTCTCCCTCACTTCTGTTTCTGTTCTCTGTCATTTACTGCTGCTTTCAGTGAATAGCTTTCCACTATTTATAGTTACTTTTAATTGTTACATTTATGCCAGCTTCTGTTCTTCTCTTAGTTTTTCTTCTTTTTCTCTTATCCTCCTTAACTTCTCTCCAAACTGGACCTTAGAGCCAGCTTAAATTGATTTGGAGAGCTACTGTCAGAAAACAAAGAAATTCTACCTTCTGCCTGCTATCCTGGCTAATCATGGTACATGTTCTAAGATATATGTATCTATAGTTCATTTAAGAATTGCTGCTATTCTGAGAATATTTTGACAACTTTCTAAGTAGCTGAATTTACATACTTCTGAATAACTGATAAGTGCAATACCACCACATTTATCTCATTGGTAATATATAACAAGTGAGCAGAGATTACTACTAACAAGTGACAGAGATACACTATGCAGAATCTCTAAAATTTTTAGATTCAATTTTTTTGCAATGAGGTTTTATAATTTCGTATAAATGTTGTAAATCCCCAGAACACTAAGTATATTACTACTTCAATAAAAGTATAGAGGGTTCACCTGAAACATAATTTTGGATTTTGTTTATTCAACTTTCCTGTAGCACTATGAATATTAAGCATTGAAAAAGAAAAACAAACAAACATGTATTTGGCTGCGCTGGGTCTTAGCTGCCACACATGGGATCTTTAGTTGGAGCATGAGAACTCTCTTGTGGTATGTGGGATCTAGTTTCCTGACCAGGGAAAGAACCGATGCCCTGAGCACTGGGAGTGCAGTCTTGGCAACTGGACCACCAGGTAAGTCAATATCAAGCATTTTATAAAAGGAATTTAAGTGCTCAGCATAATACTTACAAGTATTTCTATACTAATAATTGAGTTTCTTTGCTTTTCAATAACTTCCACTTTACTATAAAATCATTTATTGCTTCACAACTATCAGTGGGGTTGGTCTTTTTTAAGGTCTTAGCTGACAATGTTAATCATACATATTGGCAATTTGAACTAATATTAAATTATTTCTATGCATCATACTGATATTAATTCCAAATTCAAGAATAAACTGACATGATCAATAGGGGTGAATAACTAGCAAGAGTCTATCTGAAAAATCACATATGTACTCAAAACCAGTAAAAATATTTTTTAAATATAATCTTGCATTTTCTAATGATAGTGATGATGACCCAGGATCTCACAAAAACAATGGAGAAGATGTAAGAAATGTTTACCAAAGGTCTAGAAGAACTAAGGACAAACAAGCAGAGATGAACAATGCACTAGAAGGAATCAATAACAGAGGCAGAAGAACAGGTAAGTGACCTAGAAGACAGAATGGTGGAAATCACTGCCACAAAACAGAATATAAAAAAAAGAATGGAAAAAAAAAAAATGAAGACAGTCTAAGTTAATGCACCAACATTTGCATTATAGTGGTCCCAGAAAGAAAGAGAGAAGGGACCCAAGAAAATATCTGGAGATAACAGCTGAAAACTTCCTCAATATGGGAAAGGAAATCGTCAACCAAGTCTAGGAAATGCAGAGAGTCCCAGGCAAAATAAACTCAAGGAGAAACACACTGAGACACACAATAATCCAACTGATAAAAATTAAAGACAAAGATAAAATATTAAAAGCAATAAGGGAAAAATGACAAATAATACTCAAGGGAACTCCCATCAGGTTATCAGTTGATTTCTTAACAGAAACTCTCCAAGCCAGAAGGGAATGGCATGATACATTAAAAGAGATGAAAGGGAAGAACCTACAACTGAGAATAATCTATCCAGCAAGACTCTCATTCAGATTTGATAGAGAAATCCAAAGTTTTCCAGACAAGAAAAACTAAGAGAATTCAGCATCACCAAAACAACTTTACAACAAATACTAAAGGAACTTCTCTAGGCAGGAAACACAAAAGAAAAGATCTACAAAAAATAAACCCAAAACAATTAAGAACATGGTAATAGGCCATACGTAAAATAGGTAGCCAACGGGAATTTGCTGTATGGCTCAGGAAACTCAAACAGGGACTCTGTATCAACCTAGAGGGGTGGGATGGGGAGGGAGATGGGAGGGAGGTTCAAAAGGGAGGGGATATATTTATACCTATGGCTGATTCATGTTGAGGTTTGACAGAAAACAACATAATTCTTTAAAGCAACTATCCTTCAATAAAAAAATTAATTGAAAAAAAGAAAATGGTAATAGGATCATGTGCTGTGCTGTGCTTAGTTGTTCAGTTGTGTCAGACTCTTTGTGACCCCATGGACTGTAGCCTGCCAGGCTCCTTTGTCCATGGGGATTCTCCAGACAAGAATACTTGAGTGGGTTGCCATGCTCTTCTCCAGGGTATCTTCCCAATCCAGGGATCGAACCTGGGTCTCCCACATTACAGGTGGATCCTTTACCGTCACAGCCACCAGGGAAGCCCAACAGAATCATAGGATCATACATATTGATAATTACCTTAACTATAAATGGATTAAATGCACCAATCAAAAGACATAGACTGGATAGGTGGGTGAGAACATGTGCACATATGCACTTCCACTTACCATATCACACTCTATGCCCAAACCTATATGTAATTATTTCATATTGTGAGGTTAATTATGTTTCCAATATGGCTTGCAATTGTAAGTATTTTTTATTTTTTGTCTGGCTATCGACTATGAAAACTGATAAACATCTTTCAG